GATGATACCCTTAACCTAATTTGTTTTTGCACAACCTTTTGAAGCAATCACTGCAATCAAACAATTTCTGAACTGTTAGCAAGACGTTTGCACCTGTCAACAGGTATTTTGCTCCTTCCAGAAATGTTTAATAGGATTTAGATCAGAGCTCACAGAGGTTGACTTCAGAATAGTCGAATGTTTAGCTATTACCCAGTTTTCAGCGTTTTTAGTGTTTGTTTTGAGTTGTTATCCTGTTGGACGACCCATAACCTGCACTCGAGAACAAACTTTCTGACAGTAGGCAACACATTTTGCTCTAGAATGCCTTGATAGTCTCTAGATGTCATTGTACCCTGTACACATTGAAGACACACAGTGCCAGATGAAGCAAAGCAGCCCAAGGACATAACTAAACCTCCTCCATGTTTCACAGTAGGCACAGTGTACTTTCTTGGTGTGCTTCATTTTTCCATTTGTAAACATAAAGCCAATGTGCCTTACCAAAAAAACTATAGCTTTGTCTCATCTGTCCACAGGACATTTTCCCAGTTTTGTGGCTGGGAAAATATGCCTTGTGGTATTATTTTATGATTTGCTTTTAACAGTGGTGTCAAACAGAGACAAATTATGTGATCTGACACTGATGTACCTTGACCTTGGAATTCTCCTTTAATTTCTTTAGAGCTTGTTCTGGGCTCTTGGGTTACCATTGATATATTATACATCTCTTCAATTTGTCGTCAATTTTCCTCTTGTGGCCACGTCCAGGACAGTTGGCTACAGTCCTATGGAAAGTAAACTTCTCAATAATATGTGCAACTGTAGTCACAGGAACTTTATTATGTCCTGTGTCACCCTTTAAATAGGCCGACTGACTGATTAAGTTTGAAGACACAAGTGATGCTAATTAAGAGGTCACTCCGTAGTCTCTATTATTTTCAGTCTTTTCTAGTGGTACCATAATTTTTGTCTGAGAGAGGGATTACACGCCTGGTTTGACCTACATCCTACAGCCTGTGTCTGCAGGGAGCGGCTGCTGCCACCCACCACCGGAGGCACCAGCATGGCCCAGGTGTGGCTCCGCAAACGACCTGAGACCAGGTGCTACGCAATACCACACAACCATGGTACATTTACCAGTGAAGGTTGGTAATGGCAGTGCTCAATTGTGTCCATAACACACACACACACACATATTATATATGGTCCTGTAGTGCAGGTTTTTCTGCCCCTGAGGATTTCTGCCAATCATCCAAGCACGAGAGAAAAGAATGTTTTCAAAATGTTTTTTTCTCAAACTGAATAAGTGGAAGAAATGTGATCACTGACAGTAAACAGCCCAAACACACACATAGTGATGCACAGAAATAAAAATTATTTGCCAAAACTGCATTTATGGTTGACTGTGTACCAAATCTCAATAAAATTAAGCATATTGCATAAATTAATATTAATCTTTCAGAGAATATAACAATTACAAAGTTGTGAAAATGTTAAACTTGACTCCACTTAGGTGTACATTAATTGATAATGTACAGGCCTACTGACCTGCTGAAAGATTGTCAAAATTAAATATGTTCTCTCATAAAAACACAAAGTGCATTTAAGTCAATTGCTCGATTATTTCTTTTGTGTGCTGCTTTATCCCCGCATCCAAGTAATGCTCTTTATAACGCGGGTCAAGTCACGACAGAGTGCAGAGGATCCGAATAGATCTCAGTGAAATGTGTCCTGACAGACTGACTCTGAGTGTACTTTTCATTGTTTTTACTCCGTGGTCCGTCCGTATATACTACAGTATATACATATATATATATATTAGGCATGTCACATGGTGAATACCTCGAGTAGCATATTAAAAAAAAAAGTTGAGTCCTCAATTCAATCCAGGTCATGGTAATGAGCCTAAAAGAAAAGTGATGGACCGTGTGGGTGAGAGTGTGGCGCATGATGTGGAGTTGAAAAAGCTGCCAACTTATTCCCACCGTTTTTAATCAGCCTCTTGGTGTTAGCACAGACAGGGCCAAAAAGATAACGGAAGCAATTGGCATATAAATATCCACATCTATGCGCCCATATGCCGTAGAAGAGGAGCCCAGCTTCAAGAATTTATTGAAAGTGCTGCACCAAATTTTAGACCACGACCGAAAATGTCCCTAAAGTGCGTTTTCGATTTTCGGCCGAAAGACATTTATCACCAAAACAGCACAGCCGGAACAGGAAGTTATGATGACGCAAGTAAAGGCCGGAACAGGAAGTTATGATGAAGCAAGTAAAAACAGCGGCCAGCAAACGGGCTGTTTTATGCATTTAAAAATCAATAAATCTGCAAATAAATAAATAAAATAAAATAAATGTTTAAAATGTTAGTACTCACCAAAACAGCTATCCTCCAAAGCACTTATTTCAACACAAAATCCTTTCTCCTTTCTTTCCTCAAGAAGACCTCAATGACTTGATTGGACAGTTTATTTGTGCGCTTCAGTTCCAACAAAAAATCCCTTTCTATTGACATGGAGGCCACTGCTGAAAGCCGCGTCTGTCCAGTCATGTTTCTTGCATATGTTTGCCGAAAATGATCGCTCAACAGAAGCAGTGGACACAGGGGTTGTCCTAGCTATGGCATACATTACAGTCAGTTCTGTTTTTAGTCGGGGCAGGTCGAACTGTGCGCTGTGACTTTGTGTTAAGCTTGAAAAGGCTGTTTACGGGAACTTTCTCCGGTGTGTCTGAAAGTGGTGGTGGTCGAGAAGGAAGAGAAACAATAATTTTTCGTGAATTGATTCCGTATCTGGCAAAGAAGTATCTGGCCCCTGAGATGCACACTGTTTCTTCATAAATCTGATTGAATTTGCCCTTCGCACGCTCAACTGTGTCACAGAACTCATTCACCCTTGCCATTCAGAATTGTACATCCAGTGTTTTCTCCTGTAGTATTCCAAAGAGCACATCAGCATGCTCAAAAAGCCCATTAAATGTGTTGAGCAAAAAACAAATCATCCAGGCGCTTAATAAATCCATCTACACAAAGCACAGTGTCCTCATCGTAAGTCTGTGTCATACTCAGCAAAAAAAGAAATAAGTTCCATGTAGTTGCCTCTGTTTGTGGACTGACTGCATTCATCATGTTCCCTAATTGAAAGTTCTTGTTTGCCCCAAACACGACACAATCAATCAGTTGTTTCAATATCTCCCTATTTCTCTTGACCATTTCATTGTGCAGCTCCCTTTCCCTCCTCACCTGTTCATTGAGCTGTGCATCCACTCGGGTGTCCCCAAAGGTTTTTAGAAGCACCGTAGCTTGCAAGTGTCCAGTCGTGCTTTGGTGTCTCGTTGCTGCCTTAGTTAAGCAATTTAAGTTCGCAAATCCAGTGTGGCTCCACACACCAAGTTGAAACAAAAGGCATTCCCAGCAGAACAATTTGCTGCTCCCATCGGAAGCTCTAAGCCAAGGGTCCCGCTCATAGTTGGTTTATTGGAAATGGCGGACAAACCTTTTTCCCGGCTGGCACAGGTTAGATAGCGTGGGGGTCGGCCGACCTTGTCTCACGAGATCTAACTTCTCTTGAAAGGTCCGTCTTGAAAATGGCCTTGCAAGTATATCTGAAACCAAATCCACGTTTTGCCCTCCTTCGACCATTGTGGAATAAAAAAGCAGGTAGATTTCTCTCTCTGCTAATCGATTGATCTGTGTTGAGCTTACAAGTGAAGTGAGAAGACACTTCTAGTTGTTTTACAGCTGTAAGTGAGTCCAATCACGGGATGCATACATGACATGTTCAACGTGAGGCCAGCTGGAAGGCCTACTGTCAACAACATCGTGATCTTATTGGCTATCACAACTGTCTATCAACTACATGTGCCCGTTCGTTTCGGTTCGCTTACGTTGCACAGACGCTCGCATTGTTGATTCTGAAGGCCTCGGGCAGATTTTATACAGCATGGCAACAGCTAGCTGAATCTGATTGGATAGAAACTTTAACCTGAAAACAACAACACTGGAAGGAGCCTAATATGACATGAAGAGAATATGAAGAATATGAATTATGCTTTTATGTATTTAAGAAAAGTAAATTAAAAATTAAATTAACTTTTATCAACCTATGATTATGATTTATGTAAGGCCAGCAGAGAAGGCCTTGCTGGCCCTGACCACTGCTGTCGGCACAGGTTTCACTGATATCTATTCGGATCCCCTGCACTCGTCGTGACTGTAGTTGATCCGCATTATAAAGATCATTACTTGGATGCAGGATCAAAGCAGCACGCACAAGAACTGATCAAGGCCGCGATGGACGCAGAGAACCCATTTGGAGACGGAGAAGCTGACAGTGAGTGCAGGAGAAGAAGAGCAGTGTGCCAGATAAGGGGCAGGCACCCTCGATGTCTGATAAGTTCTGTGAGATCCTGCAAAAAAGTACCTCAAATATTAATCGGTTGTAGCAGGACAAAGAAAGCGCAGGAATCGAGAGTGGGTTTGAACACGCGCCAAAACATAAGTACCGTAAACCACGCCCCCAGCCCACAGCCCTGTAGGGTGAGAGGCATCCCTTGCAGTGCCTGCCACAAGGTAGGCTTTTCTGTTCTGACTTCATATGTGACTATCAGTTGATTTTATTTCTCTGCTAGACATTTGACTTTTTTTTGTGACAATTATTAATTTATTAATTATTTAATAGTAATTTATGCAATTGCAGTGCCTTGATTTTATTGAGATTTTTATACACAGCCAAGGCCATAAATGCAATGGTACTGATAATTGGCATAATATTTCTTTGGTCTTACAGTTTTCAGCCTTGGTTTCCTCATTTTCGGTTTTCGGTTTTGGCCAAGAATTTTATTTTGGTGCATCACTAATATATATATATATATATATATAATATACAGTATATACAGTATATATGCATAACGATATTAAGACAGAAATATAATCTAATTTCAGGGGCTTTTTGCTTAAATAAAGTTAAGCTAAAAATGTCTGTAAGTAGAATATACCAAATTGAGGTCCTTCCAAGTAATTGTGGCTTTGTCTTTCTTTCACAGAGAGAAAGTCAATTACAGCTGACCTCTTACCTGGCATTGATTTACTCGTTATGACAGGTAGTATAAACCTCTTAATACAGTTTAGTTATGGGAACTCAAAGTGTTGGCAATAGGTTCTTTATTTTTGACATGTATTTTTCTTATTTTAAAGAACACAGCAGTACACAGCAAAACAGTACATTTTTTAAAGTCACTGTACTTGTAATCACAACCCAACCCAAAAGAAACACTTTGCCAAAAGAACAGGAAGAACAATGGTGTTGTTAAAATAATATCCTAACTGTGAACTATGGGGAAAAAAAAAGAATTTAAACATTGCTTTTACAAATATTTTGTTTTAAAATAGGAATCTGCTATTAAAGGCTTTCTGTACAGTTCATTTGGGTCTTTGCATTGCACAGAACAAAGACCAGATGCAAAATAAAAGTTAATCTCAAAATATAATATATAAAGTATATGAAGTAACAAGACATAGCAAAGCCACACATCCCAAGTCATGTTGGGATTTTATTTCAAATAATACACATGTAAATAAAGTGATACATGCTAAACAAAGCCAGTGCTGGCATTCTGTTTCCTCTTAGTGCCGGTTCCAAACTGGGATTAATTGGTGAGGGTTGCATCAAAAAATGTATCCAGCATAACAAAAAGAATGTCCATACAGGATTGGTCGTGGTCTTAGTTAACAGCGACCGCCTGTGGTTCTGTAACGAATTATTTTTATTATTATATTTAGAAAATACCAGTTTTCATACCGGTCATATAATTTATTTAGAATATATTTATCTGCCAGGTCGGTCCTTGAAAACATTTTAAAACATTTAACTGGTTTGCGTTCAATAATAAAAAAAATCAATAATAAAAATCAGTCTTGTTAAAACGATCTTAATTGTTACTGTATGTTGTACTATTATTATAGTAATGTATTACTTACTGTAATACATATATACTAAAATCAATAGCATTTATAAACAATCAGAAGAGTTGAAAGTTTTTGGAGATTTTTCAAAACAACACAGACAAACACAGTTTACAACAATAATCAAATTTATTAAAACAACACTGTTAATATGTAAATAATAGTAGGTGATACATAAATGATTAGAAAAGAAACAACCAAACAAGGCATAAATTTAAAGTGATTTTTTTTTAACTTGTCATCGTGACACAGAACACAACGAAACGTGACCTCTGCTTTTAACCCATCACCAAAGTGAACAGTGGGCAGCTTTAAGCTGTATGCATGCATGTATTTAAGTGTATGCGCTGGGAAAAGGGTGGGAAAAGGGGTGCGTGCATGCACAACAATGCACTCAGGTACATTAAAACAGTGTTCGGGATTTTATTTAAGTGTTGGGGGAAGTCAGGTCGTACTGCATGGTCTGCTCGAGACAAAGGGCTTTGTCGGAGTTTGCCTTAATCACAGTAGTTTATAACATACCTAATTTCCACTGAAATCTCAGTGGTGTACAAGAGAGTGTATGTGACACCGAGGTTAGATAAGGAGAGAGCACATGCAATAACCTATCTATAAAACAGCACAGATTTCAACACATTTTCAATAACAGTGTTTTCTATGTGCACAATTAAACATTTAAATAGCACTTAATGATTAATAATAAAAGTAACATGCCCAAATGTCTACCTTACATTAGTTGTCCGTCTGCTCGTAGTTCGGTGCAGTGGAACTTCCGCACCTCTTGTGTCCTCATGAAGGTGAGGGTCAGTTCCGCTGTGCACAGACAGTCCCCTTCATCAGAAAGTTCATCTTGGGAAGAAAAGTCTATGACTGACGATGTGCTGGTTCACACATTAGAGTTTAGATGGAATCCTGTCGCTTCTAACTTTTATCTAACTGCGTTGGCTGCAGTTGTACCGTTACTTATGTAACTCAATTAACTGGTTTTAGTTCAATTAGAAAGAAGATGCAACTAATGCACTGTGGTGCCGTGGTGGCTTACTGGTTAAGGAAGCGGACTTGTGTCTGGAAGGCTTCAGGTTCGAGTCCATCCTTTTGGTTGTGTGCAGTTGTCTGCTTGTGTCACAATGACAAGTAGTTCACTTTAATAATGAATTATCACCATGGGCAATGGTGAATGCAAAAGTGTCTTGTGTTCTTTTTCTTGAATTATTATAGTATATAAGGATTCTTGTGATATAAAATAAAATGTGGTTTTAATTAGTTCTTACCTTCGAGGCAGACGATACAGTAGCCGCTAATGGCGGCATGTGTGGCCAGA